GCGGGCACATCCCCAGTACAGGGTGTGCAGAAGGCAGCTGATTAATGTTTCTCTCTCATTGATGTTTCTAACTCTCTATCCTTCTCCCTTCCTCTCTGTAAAAAATCAATAAAATATATTTAAAATAAAATAAAATACAAATTTGAACATAGAAATAAATTTCCCCAACTTGATAAAAAGCTATTGGAAATGTATAGCAAACATATTAAATGGTGAAATACTAAAGCATTCTCATTAAAGGCATTGACAAAATAAGGGAACTTGTTAAACTTGCTAATATTCTGTATTCACCACAATCAATTATAGAATACTTTCGTTCTCCCCAAAAGAAACTCCACACTTTTTAGCTTTCACTGCCCTCCATCTCTGCCAGCTGTATACAACCATTAATTGACTTTCGTCCCTTTCAGTTTGCCTCCTCACGGCCTTTCAGACAAATGGAATTATACAGTATGTGCTCCTTTGGGACTGTTTTCTTTCACTCAGCATAATGTTTTAAAGGTTCATCCATGTTGTACACGTATCGGTTTTTTATTTCTTTTTATTGCCAAATGCACGTATAGACCACATTTTGTTTATCCATTCATCAGGTGATGGACATTGGGTTGTTTCCATCTTTTGAATATTTTGGATAATGCTTCTCTGATCATTCTGATACAGGATTTTGTGTGGACATATGTTTTCATTGGAAATCTTTTTTAAGGAAGATACTAAGCCCCAAAGTTACAAAAACAAAGATATACTACATAAGATTTAAAACTTTGGTGCAACAAAATACCATAAACAAGTTGAATTAAAAAAGTGAGTGATAGGGAAAAGACTTAATAAATAATGAGTTAATATTTGTAATGTAAAAAATTAGTCAAAATGCAAAAGACCACTCCGTGAGTAGGTAGGCAAACAAAAAAGACCAGTTAATTCACAAAAGAAATGACAGATGGTCATTAAACTTAGTTAATTAAACTTTAGTTCAGAAAATGGGGTGAAACCTGATATAAAATGACATTATCTTCCCATGTATTATCAGAGATTTATAATATTAAGTGTTGGATGGACCAGTGATTCTTTTTTTAAAAAAAATACATATATTCTTATTGATTTCAGAGAGGAAGGAAGAGGGAGAGAGAGATAGAAACATCAATGCTGAGAGAGAAACATTGATCGGCTGCTTCCTGCAGGCCCCCTACTGGGAATGGAGCCCAAAACCCGGGCATGTGCCCTTGATGGGAATTGAACCCGGGACCCTTTAGTCCGCAGGCCGATGCGCTATCCACTGAGCAAAACCGGCTAGGGCTGGACAAGTGATTCTTAATAGCACATTTTATGAGCCCCCCTCTATTGACCTGAAATGCAATGTACCGATAATGTAAGCTACTCACATACGTAATTTTTAAAAATGCCTAAATATAATGAAAACAAAAGGAAGGTACTTTTTGGTAAAGCAACATATTTTAATATGTAAGTTTTTTTGCTATGATTACTAAAATATAAATAAGTTAAGATCAAAGAGAAGAAAGAAGACCAGAAGCCATTTAACACAAGAAGTAGAGGAAAATAACAAAAAAGATGGCATAAATAGTTAATAGAATAAAAACTAATATTGGGGCCCTAAGCTCAGTTGGTTAGAGCATCATCCAGATATGCCAAGGTTGTGGGTTTGATCCCTGGTTAGGCCACATACAAGAATCAACTAATGAATGCATGAATAAGTGGACCAGCAAATCGATGTCTCCCTCTCCCTCTCCCTCTCTTACTTTCCGCCCCTCTCTTTTCCTCTTCCCCCTGTCTCTAAAATCAATCAATAAAAACAATAATAATAACAACAAAAAACCAACTACCCTTCTCCCCTAATATTGGGTTAAAAATGACAGACCAAACTAATTTGTATATGGTGAGAGACTGAGACAGTAGCCTGAATTCAAAAAGGGATACCATGCCAAGATGAATTTTAGACAGTCAGGGAACAAATATGATATTCTCGCAAATGAGCTGCACCTTACTTAAATAACTTTGAGTCAGAATTTTCTATTGGGACTTGGGAGAGGGTGGCAACAGAGTAAATTATAAGATTCACTTCTCATTGACACCAAGTCAGATAGAAGTTCTCTCTTATCAGTAATACACTTGAAAATGCAGTAAATGTAATTAGACTAAGTCTGCCTTTAACTTTTCTTTTTTGATGGGTACCATGTGAAACAATTTATCAGAATTCCTCTGATTTTAGGGCAACAAGCTTGTACTTGTGTGTTTGTGTGTAGAGTTGGAATTTTCTGCATCCCAATGTATTAGATTTTGTACAATGTATCTTTTGCATCTTGTGTAAGAAAATCTGGTGGTTCCATCCAAAGTGAGACACAAGAATGGCCACAGATACACCTAAATGGCCTGTAGAAGCTGAGTTCCAGTGACCTTTTTCCTGTACATCCTTGTAAATAAATTAATGTGGGTAATGTAAGAATAATTTGTTGGCACAGTTGTGTCTCAGTACAATGTAGAGGTAGTTTAAACATATTTGAATTGATCTTAATATTAGGTTCATTTTGTATATTTTTTCAGCATTATTGATAATATAAAAATTCAAATATGAGGGGAAGGAAGTGTCCTTGTGTAGATTATACACATAATTGGAGAGAAAATGTAGTATTTCCCACCTTTGTAAATTTCTGAAGGTTCTCATGTTCACATTTGTCCCTGATTTTATCGATGTAATTTTGTGTTCTTTAATGTACAAAGGGCCCTTAAGTTATGTCACCTTCAGACCCCACAGGCCCTGGACCCAGCCTTGGAGGCAGCCCACGATGCTCCTTTACATTTTCCTAATGTGGCCCCAGAGGTGTTGGTGCTTGGCCGGGCAGTAAATAGGGACTGTTTGGGGGATTATTTGCAAAATTAAGAATTCCCAGACCTAGAACGTTCATTTCTTGATATTTGTCAGGCAAATACTTATGCAGGTATAGAAAAAGAAATCTTTAAGAATGCTTATTGCAGCACTATAATATTTAGTAACAGTTTAAATGCTCAAAAGGAGACTAATGGAAATCCATGTCACAGAATTTTATGATTTAAAGGAATGTCTGGAGATAGAAAGATCTTTAAGATTGAATTAAGTAAGTAAAAGAAATATTTATGACTTAGTTATGTAGAACAGTACTGACAGAAAATACTGACCCCATTTATGTAAAATAGCAACAACAGCCCAAACTGTAGCATAGCTCTGTATTTCTGTGTGCAGATACATTTTCTGGGAGGTTCCATAACTGATTACTGAGGCTACCTCTGGGGAGGATAGTGGGAGGGTCCAGGGAAGGAGATTTTCACTTTGTGTGTATAATTTTAATTTTGTACAAGCCAAATATATTTATGTATATTTTTAAAAAGTCCCAGCTAAGTCTCTGTGCTCATCTTTCAGCTGTGTGAGCTTTGTAGAGCAGGGTTGATGTTGTAATGAACTTGTCACAGATTCACCAGTGATGTTTTATGAAAAGGCAGGGAAACCTAAGACAGGGATTTAAGGTTAGCATATGAACGTATAATTTTTTCTGAGTTTGAATGAACCTGTTTTGGCTAGGTTAGATGAGGAGGATGCATGATAATTGAGCTTCCTTAGAAGCTGTTAATTGTGAAATAAAGTGGGACAATTAGAAAACAAAGAATGATAGGATCTGCTGAAGAAAGCTAAGGTTTCATTCCATTTTGGGGTAATAGTAGCCCATTGATACATTTGACGGTACAACTGTTTGGCACTGGATGATTCATTTTAAATTACAGAGCTAACTTCCAACTCTTTGATGTGGATGTACCCAAAACATCAGTCCTCAAACCTGGGGCCAACACTGCTATAATTAACCATGGTAAAAGCATTTTGATGGTACTTTACATGTTAGTAATAATGTCAACAGTATTGTATCTAGCATGTATTATGGTAACACTTACTGTTCCTACCTGCTAGAAAGGACAAAAGTAATTGAATGCTTATGTTGTAAGCTTTATATGTACAGCTGGGGCACAAGTAAGCTTACAGCTGTTTGTATGGAAAATAATGCAATAACTAATAAACAATAATACGAGAATTTTGTGTACTCACAAATGTAAACCTTCTTGTGCCCCACCCTGTGTATACCAGATCATTTGCTCCTCACAATAGCCCCACAGAGTTTGGAACTACCAGCATCTTCCTCAACAATGTAAGACACTGAGGACCAGGGAGGCTAAATAACTAGCCAAAGGTCATATAGCCAGTAAGTGGCAGACTGGGATTTCAACCCCAGCAGTCAGATCTCAGAACCTGCATTCTTAGCTCAGAAGCACAACAGTACAAAGTTCATGTGCCTGAAGCTCTGAAAGGCCAAAACTCATGGCAGAGTTTGAAGTAAGGAAAAGTTTATTAATCGAGAAGTTGCCAATTCAGAAGATGAGAGTTTTAATCCTCAAATCAATTTTAAGAAAGTACAGCGTTCAGGCTTCTTTTATGTCAAGGGAAGGGAAAACGGGAAAGATTGTTTTTGTAAAAACTCAAGTCCCAGGCAGAATTCCTCTGATGATTAGCATGTCGAAAGCAGGAGCTGTTAGCCGGAAGGCCAGGGCAGCAATGCAGGCGAGGACAAGATGGACTCAGTGAGACTGCCACTTCCCTCTCCTACATCCTTAGAGTTGACATCAACTTGGATGTCTCAGAGGCACTTCACATTTACTTTAATTCAAGACCAAACTCATGAACTTTATCCCCCGCCACTTTGTGTTTTTTATGGTTCTGTCGTCTCCTTTCATCCACTTGCTGAAGCCAAACACTTAGTAGATTCTTCCCACAGAGTTTGGAACTCTCCTAACCTCAGCCAGACCTATTATCTCTTGACTAGACTGCAGCTTGTGCCTCGAAGCTTCTAGCCCTATTCACTTTTGGTGTGATCTCCAAAGATATCGAAACTATATTTCCCCCCTGCTTGCATATGTGTGTTTATGTGACTTAACCCTCCTTCACTGATCATTCCTTATTTTTTTCACAGGACTGTAAGGATAGGATCTAGCCTGAGGTGACCTCTTCTCTCATTGGCTCTCTTCTTCTTCTCCTGAGTGGCAGGGCCTGCAATGGGGCCATGACTATTGGCCAGGGACCAGGAGTCAGATTTAAAAGGACTCTTAGGCGGGCTTTTTCTGGGCAGAGAATTCTCTGGGTGGGTCTAGATCCCGAGAAGGTCCACAGGGGAAGGATAATGGTCTTAGCAAGTGGAATGTCCATTGTGAAGTGGTCTAAAGATCAGTTCCCAGGGTAGGGGATATTGATTCAATTATTTGATCAGACCTAACATTCCAGCCTTTTTGTTTTATGGAATAGGGACGAAGGTCATATCTTCTGTAGTTACTTCCTGCTGAGGAGGGACATTGAGATCATAGGGGGTGGACTTTGATTGTAGTCGGCTGGAATGTTGTATAGATTCCTCCTGGTTGGAGCGAGGGGTTGCAGCAGTATGATTTCCCCGAGAGACTGGCTAGTGAAGGCGCGAGAGTGGTCCTGAAGGAAAGATGAAAAAATGGCACAGAATAGCTGAGCCAAAAACGAGGATGAGGAATAGGAGTGCTAATGGTCCTATGAAGGGAGGTAGCCAGGTATACCAGTTAATATTCTTCAGCCAGTAGTCCCATGAATTTGATTGATGCTCTCTAATCTTTGCGGCCCTTTCTGTTAATTTTTGGATGGCATCCCTGACCAGGCCAGACTGATTGACATAAAAACAACATTCTTCCTCTAGAAAGAGTCATAGACCTACCCTTTCTCCACAGTTAGGAGGTCCAGTTCTCTCCAGATTTTGGAGGTGACAGCTGCTAGTGAATCTGTCTGATCCTGAATTTGAACTAAATTTTTGGCAATGTCATCTAGGCTTTCTTGTAGGTCCTGAGACAGGATTTCAAAATATGATAGAGCAGTGGTTAGGGCCCCTCTGCCAGTCCCGACACCTGCTGTGATTGCGAGGATTTTGAGGAGAGGGATTATCTGGACTGCTCTTTTGTGTCGGCTGTGATGGGTTACTGGGACAGGTAAAGACTGGTTATTGGGGGCTACATCTACATTGGGTGAGAGATAGATGAGAGTACAAGTTCCTGCCCAGTTGGTCGGGAGGCAGATGTATGTGTTTTCCCCACAGAGGAAGAAGAATCCCTGATCATGGAGACAAGCTGAAAGGTAGGGAGAAGAGGTGGACTAAAGGATCTGAAGTTCCTTTCCCAGGTCTATGCTCCAAACCAAGAGGGGAGTCACCATGGTGCTACCGATAAGAGGTGACAGTTGAGTGGTTGAGATTCTATTGCAGTGAAAGTGGATGGGAACGCTAGGATGGGCTGTTATCCAAGGGAAAAGCGAAAGGGAAGGAAAAGAGCTGTTGAAGCCTTGGGCCTGGATGGCTGGATAAGAAGTAAAACAGATCGGCTGTAGGAAATAACCATTGGCTTCCAGGGAGACCTGGTAGTTAACCTGTTCAGACCAATGGCTATTGGGTAGTTCTAAATTAACTGTGGTATTGCAGGCTGATGGTGGGAGATGGCCTATTGCTATATTGCCCTGTGACCTTGTAAAGCATAAAGGGGTTTGGGCGATTAGTAGGGTGTTTAGAGTGATAGGACCTGTGACCGGGATGGAGGAAGGAGCTACCTTAGCAAGAGACTGAATATAAGAATGGAAATGAAAGGAGACTTGATGCCTGGGCTGCAGGATAATTACCTAGAAGGGTGTCTGGCTTTTCAAGAAATACAGTTCCCTTTTCCTTTTTATAAGCTAGAGTGATTTTTGCCTGATTCCTTCTCTTGATTGGGATAGGAATGGTGGCATACGCTGAAGAGGAGAGGGAAAGCAGAGCCAGCAGTTCCTGGCTAAGGTTGGATTGGTCTGGTTTAGGAGGCAGTGGGTAAAGTTAAGTGTTCAGTTGAGATGAGTGAAGGTGAGAAAGTTCCTTATGGGTGTAGGAGAGGAGTGTTGGAATAGGATGAGAAGGAGAACTAATCCACACGTCCAGGGCTGGGATTACCCAAAGCGGGGGAAAGCCTATGTTTGGGATCTAGAAAGAAGGAAATCTCGTCCCATGGGATGGTGGTATTCCAGGAAAGGGTTATAATCTGGAAAGGTGGAACCAAGGGGTATGCCCCGATAGTTTAGCTGTAGTTGGGGTGGTTAGGAGTACTTGATAAGGGCCTTGCCATCAGGGCTGTAAATTATTTGACAAGTGGATTTCCTTTAGGAGGACCCAGTCCCTGGCTGTAGAGGAGTAGGGGGGATGTCTCCTGTAAAAGGTCAAGGGAGGACCTGATCAGCATGTTCTCTCAGTAATTGTCTCAGAAGATTTAAAATAGAGACATAGTGCCCTAGCCAGTTTGGCTCAGTGGATAGAGCTTCCCCCTGTGGACTGAAGGGTCCCGGGTTTGATTCCGGTCAAGGGCACATGCCCAGGTTGCGATCCCCAGTGGGGGGTGTGCAGGAGGCAGCCAATCAATGATTCTCTCTCATCATTGATGTTTCTCTCTTTCCCTTTTCCTTACTCTCTGAAATCAATACAAATATATTTTTAAAAAATAAAATAAAATGGGGACATAGCCCCTAGAGGGGTCCCTGTGGAAGGGAAGTTTCCTAAAAAGAGGGTCTTCCATACATGAGTTCAAAGGGACTAAGGAAGGGGGTTGCCTTGATGTGCTTAAGGGCTAGAGGTAGGAGAGTAGTTAAGGT